GGGGGGGCAACCGCGCCCCATGGTGGTGGCGGCTTGCAGGCCAGGCATTGGTGCAGAGGCAGAGGGAAGGCCGAGGGGAAGGGCGGCATTGCAGGCCACATCACACGTCCGCGGCAAAGGAGGAGAAGTACCAACAGCCCAGGCGAAGGGAATGAGAGATGCAGAGAAGAGAAAGGGCGAGAGAGACAGGCAAGAACGAGGGGTGCCTCCGGAGGAGCACGGCGGCAAAGCGAAAGGCTGCACACTTCGGACGGAAGCCCCTGCCGGACGTCGTGACGGTTCACGACTCCCAAACAGCACGTCACCCTCACTGTAACGTGTGAGAGGTCTTGGTGTTTCACCGTAAGTTGGCGACACATCGAATCTTTCAAAGGTCCCTTTTTGTCATGTAAAGGACAGAAAATGCGTCACTTCGCGTCACTCACTCCCGAAAAGTTGACGATTTTTTTTCAAAAAGGCCTACTCATTGCCGAAGAATGGCAACACGCGTCGCCGTTCTTCATCAATAAAGAGAGCTGTCGGAGTGGCTGTAACAAAAGGGATCGTCCAGCAGAAATTACGTCCTTTTTCCTCGAGAGTAGATTACGTTAGGCGCCTGCGAGATACAGGGTAGGCCAGCCCGCATTACACGCATGCGCTGCAGGCAAGATGTTGCCTACCTACCAGGCGCTTTGATAGCTTGAGTTCGCTGAACTACGCAGTCAAATGAATGACGGACGTACTTCTTTGACGCATTATTTGTACCCCTTTCAAACATTGAGCTTCGTGCTTGTATATGGGCACTCTAAACTGGTTGGCGTCTTATGACGCAAAAATCCTGGCGTCCTCTGATGAACACCAAATCTTGGCGTTCAAAGACGCCAATATTTTGCGTTTAAAGACGCCAACCATTTTTCAGTGGGGATCTCCGCTGGCCAAAAAAATGCCTGAGAATAGTTTCTTTATACGCTTAAAGCAATGTTTATTTTGATTCCAAGAGTCAATAGCAAAGTCGTAGCCGATCTGTTGGTCACAATCACAACTAGACCGACTCATCCATTAAACCGCTTTTGTTTCTAAATATTCGACCATTTTGGTTGGTTTAAAACATTGCGATTATTTTCGTGTACGTGCGCCAACGGTGCGGAATAATACCAGAACACAGCGGCGTGGTGTGGCAAGGCGTGCACCCAATCCCAATGCTGCTGCTCCGACCCGTAGTGCGGCTAAGCTGGGCGCGGGCCCGGGCTCGCCCGCACAACACAATAATCGGGCACCGTACGTTTGCGCCCCGCTGAACAGCAGAAACCCAACAAACCGAACGCAGATCGAACCTCCGAAAGCAATAACCCGCTGTGTCTGTGAAGGGCCATCGTCGTGTCTCGCGGCAGCGGCAGCAGCAGCAGCAGCAGCGGCAGCAGCACCGACCCTTCACTTTGATTTCGCTCGCTGCTTCTTTTGTCCCGACCACCCCCGCCCCTGTTCCACCCTGCTGGCTTTTGCATTGAGAGGGTCCCGACAGCAGGCCTGCCGCAGGACGAGGCGTGTTGTCGGGTGCCCCCCGCACCGCCCCACACCACCCCCGCACCGCCCCTGCATGGACCCTTATCGCGTACCTGCCCCGGCCTGGAGCACTGCTGCTGCTGCTGCTGCTGCTGCTGTTGCTGTTGAATCGCGCGCGCGGCGCTGTGCCGCCGCGCCCCCGCGAGTTTGCAAAGTAACATTAAAGTATGTAAATTCCCGTGTCGAGTTTTGCTGAAGTATTAACGAGGTACTTGGTGCGGCGGAGAGGACGCCCTTGCCGCCGAGCCCCGCTCCGGCGCTGCTGCAGACAACACGCTGCTGGTACAGCACAACGAGAACACGCGCCTCCCCGGGGCGAGGTGCGCGGGGGCCTGCGGAGCCCCCCAACAACTCGACGAACAAGTTTACTTTCGGCGTCGCGACGGCGGCAGTCTCCTCTGCTCCGGCTGGGCCCCCCGCCGCCGGGCACAGGCCGGCGCTAACGCAAATGAATTGCAGTTAAACAGAGTTATCGGAGCGCCAAATTACTATACAGAGCTCGTGGGGGCGCGACGGCGGCCCGGGGGCCAGAGGGAGGGGAGGGCGAGGACAAATATGGCGTTTGGCGCGACCAGCCCGACGGTGTTTGTGTAGAGCCGCGCAGGGGCGAGACGAGACGCGCGGCCGTCCAAATGGACCATTAGACCTTGTATTGCCCACCCTCCCCCTCTGTCCCGTCTCTCTGCCCAAACCCACCACCACCAGCGGCACATTTCCATTGATTTCCAATTATTGTGTCGTGTTGTGTCTGACCCCCGCTCTCCCCTGCTTGGTTCACCACCTGTTCCCCGCTCCTCACCTCCTCCCTTCACCCGAAGCCCCGCCGGCCCTGGACGGACGGCCGCTGTGTCCGAGAAGACAACGGGGGAAATGAGTGGCTGTAGCGAGCTGTAGTGGCCGCCGGGTTATTGACAGCGGGCATCATCCGGGGGGGGGGGGAGCTGATCTGATGCGGGAGGGGGGAGGGTTCGGCAGCCAGCCGCACAGGGGCGGCGTCCCCCGGCCCGGCCTGACCCGCCGCCCGTCAGGGCCCCGTCAGGGGCAGTGACCAGGAATTTCATTACGTGCCGACCAAAAATAGTTTCCATGGACTCCCTGTTGCGCTGGGGGGGATGCCGAGGGAAACGGGCATTCAGAATGGGGAGGAGCAGAAGCTATCAGCTCGTTGCTGCCTTGTTAGTGCCCGGCCCGGCTCCAAGTCTCGCCTGACCCTCCTTCCAGTCGTATTCACTTTAGTGCCGGTCCGTGTTTCGTCTTTGGCGCGCTCGGCTCGGCGGCGCCTCGCTGCTGGACGGTGGTGCGCTCTCGGTGGCGGCGAGCGCAACTAACTCTCTGCCAGCGCGGCGCCCTGCTCTCCGTGCGCTCTTGGCTCGCTCCCCCGCCGCCGCCCCCTCCCCCCTCGCCTGGAGCAGGAACATTCTTGCGGCGTCACTCCCAGCCCGCGCTCGCCCGCACCTTACCCCTCCTTTTCCTCACTTTAACTCACAACCCTCTTCTTATTACAAGTGCGGGCGGGCTCTTCGCCACGCCGCCTTGCGCAGACCCACCCCCTTGAGGACGGCGCCGCACTACTAGCAGCAACTCGGGGGCGGCGTGCATGTTGCTCTCTGAGCAACAACAAAAAAAGTTGGAGCACGAGAATTTTTGGCACTCCGTTCTGGAAACCCTTCGGGAATGAGCACCACCTGGTCCTGGCGGAGCAGCCGAAAGTTACACTGGAGAAGAACGTGTGTCACTGGTGTCACGCTTCTTTCCAGGACAGGGGACGATTTGTTAAATACGAGGTTAAATAAATCAGAAAACGACTGTTTGGTTAATTTTGCTAGAGTGGGGGCAAGTTGCGAGTGGTGGTGGTGGGGCACTCGAGGTGGTAGTAAATGCACGTGTAGCGACCCGAGGGACCCGAGTGGCCGTAAATCGAGCCGTAAGTGGGTTTGGGGCGACATGGCGGAGCACGGCGGGCCACTCCACGGTAGGAACACGCGCGCGCAAATGACTGGCAGCATGAGGCATTGCTTCAATGATGCACAGCCGTGCTGCAGCGTCCCGTTTGACAGGGAGGGCGCCAGAGGGCGGGTGCATGTTGTGTATAGTGCGGTGCTCGCGAACAAGCACACAAGCCCTTTCTCTCGGGGCCGTGACGAGAACGAAAAAAAAATAAAAAAAAAGTAGCGAAAGGCTTTGGTGACTCTTTGAGAGGCCCTCGGAGCCGCTGCAGACTCTTTGAGCAAGCAGCCCCTCCGGCTGTCAAAGGGAGTGGCAGAGCGGGGTGGGGCGGGGCGGGCGGGGTGGTACAAGCACAAGCACACCGTCACCCGGCGCGGTGGCGCAGCCTGCTGGCGCGGCCTCAAAGCGCACCCTAAAGCAGGGGCGGGGCGGAGTGGGGTGGGGTGGCACCGAGGACGTACTACCTCGGCCTCGCCATTGGCATTGGCGCACCTCGGCGAGGGCGGGGCGAGGCGGGGCTAGGCGGCGAGGGGCTTCGCGACCTCCGTGCAGCATCAGGGCGCCCGCGGCGGTCGATCCCCCTAACGCGGCCGCATGTCCATCAGAAGAAAAACCAATGCTCCGTTCGGAAATGGAATGATCGAATGCAATGTGTGGTTAATGTATCATGTGTCTGTATGTGCCAGCAGGCGCCAGGTGGCTGTTTCACGCCGCACAATTTCGTAGTTATACTGTACTGCATGCACGGGTGCGGGCGGGTTTGCCTAACCTCGCAGCCCACGGCTCCTTACGGCTCCGAGTAGGCAACCCGTCCGCACGCGTATGCTGTACAGCAGAACTGAAAGTGCGAGGCGTGAATCAGGTATACCCTCGGGTATACCCTACAGTATAGTTCATGGGAAAGTAGTAATCACGTCATATTTATACACCCCTCGATTCCCCCTTTACCCTTCCC